ATGTGAAAGATACAAAGCACCAAACTTTCAAAAGAAAAGAAACTGAGCGGCTCCATTTATTAAAGTAGTTAAATGCTCAGTGTTAGGACTTTCAGCAAAGAAATCCCAGCTGCTTTCATGAATTTACCAAACATTTAAAGGAAAAATAATACAATTTTTACGTCAAATATTTTAAAAATCAAAGAGAAGGGAATACTTTCTAACTCAGTTTTTAAGACAAGCATTACCCTGATAGCAAACCCAGATAAAGGCACTACAAGAAAAGTAGACTCTCATAAATATAGACACACAGAATTTTAAGCAATTAAAAGAATTTTAACAAATTGAATTCAACAATATGTAAAAATAATGTTACGACCAAGTATAGTGTATCCCAGGAATATGAGATTTAGTCACATAAAAATCAGTCGATGTAATTTGCCATTTTTAACAGATGGAAAAAAGAACAATTATATGATAATTACAATATTTTCAGAAATTATTTGAGGAAGTCCATTGTACATTTCTGATAAAAATAATTCTTAGCAAACTAGGGAATTTCATCATCCTAATAAATAATGTCTTTTAAAAAAACTGAAAAATTGCCGAAACCGGTTTGGCTCGGTGGATAGAGCGTCGGCCTGCGGACTGGAGGGTCCCAGGTTCGATTCCGGTCAGGGGCATGTACCTGGGTTGCGGGCACGTCCCAAGTGGGAGGTGTGCAGGAGGCAGCTGATCGATGTTTCTCTCTCATCGATGTTTCTAACTCTCTATCTCTCTCCTTTCCTCTCTGTAAAAAATCAATAAAATATATTTTAAAAAAAAAACTGAAAGATTATATCATACTTAATGATAAAAGACTGAATGTTTTCATAATGTAAGGAACAAACCAAAGATATCACTCCTACCACTTCTATTCAACATTGTAGTGGAAATTCTAGCCATGCAATAAGGAGATACATACATGAATTTTACTTGCTGATATTTTCTTAAGAATGTTTGCATTTATATTCATGGGGTATGTTGGTCTGTAGTTTTCTTACTATATGCTATTTTAGTCTGATTATGGTATCAGAGGGACGTGCAGGAGGCAGCCAATTTTGGTAAATTCATGAAAGCAGCCAGGATTTCTTTGCTGAAAGTCCTAACACTGAACATTTAACTACTTTAATACATGGAGCCACTCAGTTTCTTTTCTTTTGAAAGTTTGGTGCTTTGTATCTTTCACATGTCCATCTTACCTAAGCTGTTGAATTTACTTATTAAAACTCCCTCAGAACATTTGTTTCTTAAAATAGTAAGAAGAGTTTTCTTCTCTTTTATATTTTGGATAAGATTGTGTAAAATTGGTGTTATTTCTTTTTTAAATGTTTGGTAGACTTCTTTAGTGAAGTTATCTAAGCCTGGAGATTTCCTTTTTGGGAGTTTTTTGTTACAATTTCAAGTTCCTTAATAGTTAAAGGGTTATTGAAATGACCTACTTCATCTTAGACTAGTGGCAATTTGTGTCTTTTAATTTTTAAAAGGAGTTTATTTTGTCTAAGTTGTTAAATTTATGTTTATAGAGTTGTTAACAGTATTCACTTATGCTTTTGGTTTCTGTAGTGTCTAGTGATGTCCCCTGTTTTATTCCTGATATTGGTAATTTGTGTCTTCTCATTTTTTCTTGTTTTTAATTCCTGTTCTTTATTATTTTCTTCTACTGGCTTTGGGTTTATTTAGTTTTTCCCCCTAGGTTTTTGAGATGGAAACTTAGAATATCAATTTGAGACTTTTCTCCTTTTCTTTTGTAAGCATTTAGTGGTATAACTTTCCCTCTCAGCACTGGATTGCACAAATTTTGATATATTATATTTCAGTTTAATTTGGTTCAATGTATTTTCTTAATTTTCTTGAGATTTTCTCTTTGCCCAATGGATTATGTATGTTCTTTTGTTTCCAAGTATTTGGAGATTTTCCTGTTATCTTTGTTACTGATTTCTCATTTGAATCCACTGTGCAAGACATATTCTGTGTGATTTCAGTTCCTTTAAGTTTGGTGAGGTTTGCTTTGTGGCCCAGGATGTATTCTGTCTTGGTCTATTTTCTGTAGGCACTTGGAAAAAAATGTGTATTTTACTCTTGCCAGGTGGAATGTTTTTTAAAGGTGGTTTAGATTCTGTTGATGGATGGTGGTGTTGAGTTCTTCTCTATCTTTGACTTTTTGTAGAGTTCCTATCAATTGTTGAGACAGGGGTGTTGAAGTCTCTAACTACCAATGTGGATTTCTCTGTTTCTCCTTTCAAGTCTATCAGATTTGCTTCATGTATTTTTCAGCTCTGTTGTTTGGCCTGTACACATTTAGAATTGCTTATAGGTGAGTTGAAACTTTTATCATTATATAATGTCTCTCTCTCACACTGGTGATTTTCTTTGCTCTGTAGTCAATTTTTATCTGATATTAATAAAACCACTTTAGCTTTCCTTTGGGAATGTTTGTGTGGCATATACATTTCTATTCTTTCACTTTCAATGTACTTATGTTATCTATACTAATAAAAGGGTAATATGCTAATTGGACCAGACGTCCTTCCAGACAAAGCTGCAACAGCTGCTGCTGCGAGGGCCGGGTTGAGGCTCAGGCAACCTCAGCGGCCGGCAGTGGCAACAGCAGCAGCGTCATGGGGGCGTCACCTTTCCCTGATCGGTCCAGTTGCCTCCCACAGAGGGAGGTCAGAGGCAGCAGCAGTGAGAGGGTGATGGGGGCGGTGCCTTCCCCTGATCGGCTGGTTGAAGGGGCAGGCAGGGCTGAGGGACCCACCCTCCCAGTACACAAATTTTCATGCACTGGGCCTCTAGTTATATATAAAAGACTAATATGCTAAGTGTCCATCCAGGTAATGATATCACCTAGCAACACCCGGCTTCCTCTCCCTAGTGACGACTAGCCTCCTTGCAGTTTCTTCAGCCCAGGAACACAACTTGCTTTATAGCCAGGTGCAAACATTTCACACTGTAACCAAATATCTGTGAAGCGTTTTCACGTGCCTCATCTCATTTGATCCTCACAAAAGTCCTGGAGTAGGTAGATAGGAGACTCGGTGGAATCCTATTTTCTTTTCATTAGCCAGAAAATGGAGATTTAGAAAGTTTAGAAACTTGACCTGACTGAAAAGAAGTAAGAAATGGTGGACCTTGAAAATGACTTCAGGTTTTCTCACAGCACAGAATTTTGTCAAATACAAACACTGCTGCAGTTAAATATTTTACCCTTTGTTCTCCCTGCGTGATCTATAATAATAATCTTTGTGTTGATATTTACTGCTACGTTGCTGAAAATTACCTGAAAGAGAAGTTGGGGTGCTTCACTGGGCTGAAGAAAGTTTAGCTACATCAGAAAGCAGGTCAAATTAAGCCAGTTTATTCTATATCTATAAAGGGCTAAGGTGACTCGTGCATGCTCAGTACATATAAAGCTCTCGCTGGCGCCAGTCGCATGCATGTGTTTCCATCTGTGATTGTCGATCATGAATTTGGTTGACACTTCTATTATAGAGAAAGGGCGAATAGCGATATTAAAATATTTCTTCTAATTAATTTACTTTCAGTGTGCACGAATTTCGTGCACCAGGCCACTAGTGTTATTATAATTGTAGGTGAAAGTCTTATAGATGTTATGCATATGGGTCATATTTTTCAATCAACTCTGTCAATTTCTTTTAATTGGTATCCTTTTTAAAAGTTAATGTAATTATGTATATGTTAAGGATAATTGTCATTTTATTATTTCTTCTCTCTGTTTTGCATTTTTTTTTATTTTCCCTGCCTTCCTGAGGGTTACCTGAACATTTTTTTAGAATTATCTATAATTCTATACATAATTCTATATATTATATAATTCTATATAATTATCTATAATTATCTATAATTCTAAAAAAATTTGATTTGATTTATCTAGTGTCACTTGAACACTTATAGAATTCCATGTTGATTCATCTAGTGTCCTTGAATATATCATGGTGTTTTTAAATTTTTCTGTGGTATTTTGTATAGTATTTTTAGTGGTTACTCCAGGTATTGGATATACATAATTTATCAGTCTACTTGTATTGTCACTTTACCAGTTTAAGTAAAATGTGGAAACCTTACTTTCCTTTCTTTCCCTATATCCTCTCCTAACAGTATGTATTCTCTCCTTCTAGAACACCAATGGCATAAATATTAAGTCTATTGTTATTGTCCCATGATCCTAGGATCCCACAATCCCAATTTTGTTTGTAAAAGAAAATTTTAATACTATACTTGATTGTATCATTTTGTTTTTTAAGGCCTGGAATGGTGCCCATCAAAAATTGATTTGCTATAGGAATTAACATTAAAATACTTTTACTCAATATACTTAATAGTATTTGAAATTTTTATTAAAAGCATATAATAAAAATAATGCAGGCCTTATGATAAGCAAAATAAGTCAGAGAGAGAAATACAAATACAGTATAATCTCACTTGTATGTGTGATAAAAAGAAAAAAAGCTAAGGTCATAGATACAGAGAACAGATTGATGATTGCCAGAGGCAGGGCTGGGGGTGGGGGCAAAATAGGTGAAGGAGGTCAAAAGGTACAAATTTCCAATTATAGAATAAGTAAATCATGGGGATGTAATTTACAGCACAGTGACTCTAGTTTATTACTGTATGGTACATTTGAGAATTGGTAAGGGATTAGATCTTAAATGTTTTCATCAAAAAAAACCCACAATATTTTTGTAATTATATATGGTGACAGATGTAAGCTACATTTATTGTGGTGATTGATTTGCAATATATTAAATTATTGAATCAGTATGTTGTACACCTGAAGGTAATATAGTGTTATGTCAATTATACTTCAATTTAAAAAATTTAAGAAAGGGGCAATTGTTACAAGAAAAGTGCAATATCCTAATGAGTGAAATCATCAACCAACAACCAAAATTTAAAAATGTGTACATACTATATTATTTGGACCCATAGTGACCTGATTCTTTCCTCTCAACACACAGGAATAAATGAAGAAGAGGAGAAGAAAAAAGCAAAAAGCAAAGAGAAAATCAAGTTGAAAAAAAAAAGGAAAAGGTATTTTTTAACATCATTTTTTTAAAGTAGGACTGTGAATCCAGGATGGATTACAATTTTTTTTCCTGTATAGTCCAGTTTATTTAACATTTTTTTCTTAGTAGAAGTTAGATACTCAATTGTCTTAGTGAAATATTAAAAGTCATTCATTTCAGGAATCAAAAATAAAGTCAGCATTTAGCCACCTTAAATATTCTTCTTGGAGCAAATCAAGATATAAATAAGGAACACCCCTCCCCTTCTTTTATATATTAAAGAATTTTGAGTTTTAGAACATCAGCTAATCTTTTAAAGGAATATAAGTCTAACTTCTTCACATATATATTTTCTCCTCATTTGTATGAGGTGGGAGCTTAAATATTTGTATTTTCAAAATATCATTGCCATGCCTAGATATTAATTTATTAATAGGATTTATATACTCACTTGTCATGCTAAAAATTCCTTCAAGTCTTTCAAAACCTTCATCAGCCACTTATGAATTTTTATAGCAATTTTTTTAACAATTAACTGGTTAAAGAAATAGATTAAAAGAATTAGGTGGCAACTTTTTCCATGGTTAATGAGTACAGTTTCATTTATAGTAGAACAAAGATATGCATACAGACATTTTTTAAAGCCCTCGGCAATAATAATTTGGCTTTGACAGCAGATTCTGCAAATCAGGTGTTGTCATTTTGTAGTTTTTATAGAGCATTTAATATATACATTTTAACACCTCAGCTGTTTTATAAATTGGAATAATTATTAGGAGTTAAAATAATATTTAATATAAAAACTAATAGGAAGATAGACCTCAAGTGTATTGTGTAGTCTGACTAGTATATTGTTGAATTATTGCTTTGCCACAGCAATGTGGTTTGCTTATAGGGAAAGTTAGATTATTTTCTTCCAAATCTAATAAACTTGTTTTATTGTAACAGATTATTTATTCAGGCTTTTCTATCTTGGGCCTTACAAACCTCAGACAGAGCTGAAATCATATGAACTTTTCTAGGCACCCTTAATAGAGATAATGCCACCTAATAGAGTTGCTGTACCAAGAAGGGGAACATCTGTAATAGTGTCAACAATAAAATAAAATAAAATAATAAAATAAAATAAATAAAATAAAATAAAATAAAATAAAAAAATAAAATGAGATTCCAGAACAAAAAAGACAAAAACTGTGCAGGTGGAGAAGAAGCTCTCAGCAGAATCCAAAGGCCAAGCAGGCTCTTTAAAACAGGATGACAGGGAAGAGTTGAGAATGATAGAGTTGAAGAGGAAATAAGAGAATGCATGTAAATAAGCTCAGGAAATGGCCAGAAGTCTTAAGTAAGTAGACAAGGAGGAGAAAGGAATACAACCTCACAGAACCAGGGGAGCTTCTGGTCCCTAATCAAGGCAGGCAGTCAGGGAGTTCACACAAGTCAATCTGCAGAAACAGCCTTGTAGTCTCATGTGTTTACTTTTCTCCTCTTTGAATCTCTGGAGTTTTTTTTAGTTTTGGGTTTTAGCTTCTAATGTCTAGATCCCTGAACTATCTCTTGAGATGCCTATTTTAAATTGATGCAGTTCCTGTATAGTCATACATATTTGGGGTTTGGGTAAGGGTAGGTTGTTGCACACTTCATAGAAAGTCTTAAGAGATGGCTTCTCCACTTTTTGTTTTCTTTTTATTTTTTAATATTAGAGGAAGGACTTCTATAGTTTTTTTCCCCAATTTAGTATTACAGTAATATTAGAAAAATAAAGTATAATAATAAATCATTATAATTAATTTATATAAAATATTCATTTAAAAGCATCTTTTCTGTAACTAGTGAAAATTATTTTTAAATAAAAATATGTATCTGTTATCACTCTGGATCTAGAGAAATCAAGTACTTTAACTTGAAAAAAATCAAAAGAATTAGCACTGAAGGGATTGAGCAAAAAGAAAAAGAAAGAACTCATGAACATGGACAACAGTGCAGTGACTGCTGGGGGGACGTGAGTGGGTGGAAGTGGAGGAGGGTATATGGGGGATAAAGGGTAATGGAAAAAAATAAAATAAAGGGAGAAAAAAGAGAAAGAACAAAAGTGCTTTTATTTTGCTAATTTTGAGCTTTTATCCATTTATACTGAGTTATGTAATTATAACCCTTTTTATATAATCGCATTCCTTTGTGGCTCTTTTAAAAGAATATGCCAGCAATTTTCAACTGGAGTGCCACAGTATTTTTAAAACATGCAACACCTGACTATATAATCAGAGGCACTGACCTTTTTTTCCTTAATTGTCAATTAAAAAAATGACAACAGTCAACACAACAATAGCCATCCGGTGTGAATGAATCAAAATTATACCTATTTTTTTTTGTCAGATCAGCAAAAGTAATATATATTTTTGGTGTGCTGCAGAATTTTACTAATTAGTATTTTTACCATGAGATGAAAAAGGTTGAAGATTGATGGAATATGCTAACAAGTTATTGCAATACAAGTGAGTTATCCTACATAATAAAAGCCTAATATGCAAATTATCCCCTCGACCGGGAGTTCGACCACTTGCTATGACATGTGCTGACTACCAGGGAGCGGTGTGGAATATGGTGGGCATCAGCAATGCAGCACTGGCAGCAGCCAGCAGTGGAGGCGCTGCCAGCCCCAGTGGGCCCCAACGAGAGCAGGACTGTGGCGGGATGGTGGAGCAGGTGAGTGGGCGTTGCCAGGCCAAAGCAGGTGCGAGCAGGGCCCAATTGCCCCGCCATTCACCCCACAGACGGCGACCAGTGGCAGCAGTAGGGGTGGGGGTCAGGGCCGCCGCCCGGCTCCCAGGCATTGAGGGAGCCAGGCGGGGACCCGATCACCTCACCAATTGCCCCGCAGGCAGTGACCAGAGGCAGTGGCGGGGGTCCAAAGACTCAGGCAGAGGGGGGATGCGTGGGAGTGTGGGGGCCCAGGTGCTGCCCACAGCCCAGAGGTCAGCTGGGACCTGCCCTTCCACACCAGACGCTTGCGCTTCTATCACTGGCCAGGCCTAGGGATCGCAGCTGTGCACAAGTTTTGTGCACTGAGCTTCTAGTGTATATAATAAGGCTTGGTAAATGCAACTTTGCCTTATAAGATTTTGAAGGGTACTATAGGATGAAAAACTGAAAATCAGAAAAATAGTTTTCATCCTCACCAAATTTATAATTTTTATGGCTGTATAAAACTGTAACTATGTAACTATATAAAACTATGTATAACTTCTAAAGGTCTGGTGCACAAATTCATGCACCAGTGGGGTTCCTTGGCCTGGCCTGCGAGATCGGGCCAAAACCAGCTCTCTGACATCCCCCAAGGAGTCCCACATTGCAAGAAGGCACAGGCCAGGCTGAGGGACCCCACTAGTGCACATTTGGGCCAGGGTGGGATGCAGGAGGTTGGCCAGCCAGGGAGTGACCATGGAGGGCTCCAGGGCATGTCCAGCCCATCTCGCTTAGTCCCGATCAGCCAGACCCCAGCAGCAAGCTAACCTACCAGTCAGAGCATCTGCCCCTTCGTGGTCAGAGAACATCATAGCGACTAGTCGACCGGTCAACTGTCTGCCTCCTGGTGGTCCGCGCACATCATAGCGACTGGTCGACCAGTTGACTGTGTGCCCCCTGATGGTCAGGGCATGTCATAGTGAGTGGTTGAGCGACCTTAGCATATCATTAGCATATATTACACTTTGGTTGAACGGCCAGATGACCAGACACTTAGCATATTAGGCTTTTATTATATAGGATATGAAACTTATATAACTAGAGTTGAGCAGAATAGAGATATTTGTTTTGTCAGTTTCAGTGACCAAATAGTAAAATTTCCAAATTCAGCATTTTAAGAGAATCCAAATATATAGAGCACATTTTGAGTTCATTGTTTATACTCCCTCCTTGCTCCAAGAAGGATTTAAGGCAGATAAAATCCCATTTAAATTTACCTATCAGCTATAAATGCAGTTATCAGTCAGTATACATTATTGCCCATAGGTCTTATTCATCCAGTTCCGCTGAAGAGGACACCTCAAAACCAAAGAAACAAAAATATCAGAAGAAAGAAAAGAAAAAAGAAAAAAAGAATAAGTCAAAAAAGGGGAAACATCACAAAAAGGAAAAAAAGAAGAGAAAAAAGGAAAAGCATTCTTCCACCCCTACTATTTCTGAAATCTCCAAAAAATAACAGACTGTGGCTTTAAGCCACTAAATTTAAAATTTTGGTTTTGAAAATCATTTCACCTTCCTTGGAATTTGCTATATAATTATGCTTTGCAATAAATCACGGGCTTGTTCATATGGACATATTTTCCACATATGAGACCATTAACCTCTGGCAATATATTTTTAATGTACTATGATTATAAAGTATGAATCAGTCTTATTACTTGATAGGTCTGCCCCAATATGGATATCTGTACATACAAACACATCATTTTTGGCATCCGTGTCTCTGTATGTTTGACTAGTATTTTTACTTCATAAGTTGATTGTACTATGGTCAACACAGGTAATCTACCTGGCAGTTAATGAGTATTGCCGAATCAAGTGTCTACCTTCCAGTGATACAGTGAGATAGGGGATAATGCTTTGCTCTTGACACTGATGAATTTAATAGCTTTTTATATCCTATGATAATGTATGAAGATAGTAATATTCTTTACTGTTGTTTTTTAATCTCTGGTTTTTTTGGATGTCATAGAAGATAAAGCTGATTTCTTGGTCTTGACTAGAACTTTTTAAATGAATGGAAGAGGATAATGAAAATATTTATAACAAAGTTTCATTGTGTTATGACATGCAGCATTTCTAGTACCTGCCTCCTTATTTTTATAACTATTAAAATATTTCTTCCTGTTTAAAAACACAAGCCTAGTTCAGCCTATTAGTCTCATAGAGATAATGTTGTGTTGGGCAGGATTTTTAGAATAGACTCCTGGTTTGTTTTACAAATGTGCCATATTGGCATCTCTCAGAGTGATACCTCAAGAACAGACCTCTTTAGGAGATGACAGCGAAATCTTCATTAGAACTGATTTTTATTGTATTCCGTATGTAAATTTTATGAAACTTGTTTCTATGGGTAATGTGGAAAATTTTTATAAATGTGAACATATATATTTATTTGTCTGAAATAATTTGTAGTTTTGAAGCAGGTTTCACACCGAATTAATGCTTTCATAAATGACCCGTTTGGGGTGTTTCTTTTACTTCAGTCATAAACCTCAGGAGCAGTGATAAAAATTTAGGATTAAGAATTTTATTCTGTACTTTTTAAAATTTAAGAGCCAGGGAGTTGCATCATGAAAGTCTTTATATAACAATAGAAATTTTATATGGGTAAGCATTTTCAAACAATATTAGTAGATATAAGTGTTTCTTACATTTTAAATGTCACAGTGATCAGTGTTAGTTACTTTACTTAACATTTGGGTATCCCTTACGCCCAATAACTTAAATACTTTTATTGTAGCAGCATCAGGAGTCAATCCATTACCAATGCACAGCACCAAAGATTGCAGGTACCTCACTGTGGTGCAGTTGTAAGTTTTCAAATTGGTAACCTACAGACATGGCTACAGACGAACTCATTATGGGGAAATCAGGTAAGTACACGTATCCTCACAGGCCGGAGAGGTGTACTGATTCTTTCTTTACCCAACACCCCCACCTGGCATGACTTCAGTAAGCCTGGGGAGCCTCACAACCCCTGTTAACGTATGCTTACCATGCTCAGCTTCTAGGGATGCTGCACCCACATCCCTGTCCTATCGCATTACAGCCATGGAAGCTCTCACACTTACAGCTTTTCCATACCTAATTTAGTCATATGGCCATGAAAAGAAATTACCTTGTTTAAATTAAGTTCAGTCAGTTGTTTGGAGAGAAACACAGAGTTATTAGGTTTTTAAGGGCTTGTTTTTCCTTTGCTGTATTTTATGTATTTTTGAAATCTGTATTTTCTGAAAATATAGTTCTTTGGCATCAAAATGACCAAATAAGTAAAAAAGGTCTTATTTAAATTATTGGAAAGTGCCATATGCAAAAGAATGGTCTCATCCTCTTGAGTGTGTAACGTGGTTAATATTATAATTTTACTGAATAGAGTTAATTTAGTTATTTGTAAGTTTAATTCTGTTAATTGTAAAGATTATAATTTGGCTCATTAAATTTGTTTCTGCATGGTGACATGATTAATAATGGTTCAGAGAGTTACATAAAATTCAGCTCTCATTAACTCTGTGGTATGCAAATTGAAAGATTTTAATGCTTGGTAATTATTTTCCCCCAGAAACAATCTTAGAATTATTCTTAGGTAAATTTTCTATCATATGAGAATAGTTTATGAAACGCCTCCTCTGAATTAAATAAATTTATTTTTACTAAAGTGATTTTCTTCTAAAGTGATACTATTATTATTGGTCTTCAATGCAAATCTCAGTAGTATATTTTAGGGGAAAAAATAGTGAAATTTCCTCTCTGGCAGTATTAGCAGGCAGAAAAGTCAATTTTGTAGTAAAAATCCAAAAAGTCCTGGACTTTCTAACTACCTATGTGACCTTCAGCAGAGTCCTTTAGTTTCTCTGGGCCTTGGTGTTTTTCATCTATAAAATATTGTACCAAGTTATCTCTAAGATCCCTTCCAGTCCTTAATGTATGAGTATTGATATTTTAGTAAAATTCAGGTGATATGGTTCATTTTAGAAATTATTACAGATGAGCAGGTAGCAGTCTGCAATGATAAAGGTCAAATTTATTAATACTGCTGTTAAGCACATTCAGCTTTTGCAAGCAGATAATTGATATTTGGTTCACATCCTTACCATCCAACGTGCACCATTTTTGCTAGATGCAGATAGAATTTTTGTTTAGACCTGTATCAATAATCACATTATCTGAACACCTTGAGGCTACTGCTTCTGGGGTGATGGACCCACTCCCCACACAATTCCCTATTTTCTCTGGATCATCTGTTGACTAACATCTCTCAGAGGACTCTCCAGTGCTTCACGTTTAATACTCACCTGCTTTTTGATCTTCGAGGCCAAAACATCAGTAAATGAGCAAAATGACTGTATGTATCTATACTTAACACTCTCAAATTATAGAACCCTATGTCACCCTCAGTTAAACTAGGTTGAAGAGTTATTAATAGTGTTCATAAAAATTCCATCGTGGCCTTTCTTCAACAAACATTTATTGCATCGCCTGGCACGGCAAACACTCTACTAAGCACTGGGAATACACAGATTAAAAAGACTAATTGGCTTCCCTGAAGACGTTCGTCATTCAGTTGGTAGGAGAAACACAGCACTTTAGTGCAGTAATTGACCGGAACGTGGGTTTAGAGAAACACATAGGGGTACTTCACCAGCTCTGGAGAAGTTGGAAGAGGCTCCTTAGGGAAAGTCGTGCTTGAAGTGCATTTTGGTTGAGGATGAGGGTGGCAGTTATGGTAGTTCCTGACCAGTGGGCACTGAACAAAGACCACAGTGGAGGCTGGGGGGTATGTGTGTCAGAATTAACAAGCAATTTGTGAGGCCGAAGAAGTAAGATTTCAGACTCCCATCTAGGTTCTCGGGAACAAAAGGAGGAGGTCTTCGGTTCCATGTTTAGGGAGTTTGGACTCTAATGTGTAAGCACTGAGGCACCATGACAGAATTTTAAGGAAAGAAATGACTTATTGGGGTTTGGTTTCATTTATTTCATAATTCCACCAGTTTTAAAAGATAAAATTGCTCTCATTAGAAGGCCACATAAAAATGATTAGAATCTTTATGTCCTGTTATTTGTACTCTTCTAGTCCCACTTTTCTACGATCTGCTTATTACCGAAAATCATACAGTGACTTGTCTCCTAAACACACATAAAGCTGCAGTATTCTTTATCAGACCTGTCCCCAGAATTTCATGCATATGTACATACTATGAAATGTGTTTTGTTTTTAATTTTATTTTAGATTATTTTTGACTGACAAATTCTGTTACTATGTTAGTATTTGTTATGTCCAAATAAATCATTTAAAATGCACAGGCTGTGCTGTAATTTGATAAGCTTTCTTGCTTTTTTAAAAAAAAAGTTATTGATGTGACATTGTTTCACAAAACCATATATGTTTCAAGTGTACAGCACAACAAAACGTCATCACACTGCAACAAATGGCCTTCACCCCAAGCAAAGTCTCTCTGTTCCCATTCTCCCCCTTTTTCCACCTCCAGATACCTCCAACCTTTCCCTCTGGCCATCACCACACTGTTGTCTGTAAGGCTTCTTGTTTTTAATATTTTGTCTCAATCTATGAAGCACAACTGCTTCCAAGTGACAGAGACAACCTGTTGGTTCACTGGATGAGCCCTGTGGCGCCCCCTCAGGTTACCTGGCTAGACAGGGAGTGCTTCAAGAACTCCACCTGGTCCTAGTGCTGGGATTCAAGCCTCTTGGGCAGCCAGCATTCAAGAACTGGTTTCTTAGGCCTGAATAACGCTAATCCCACTTGTGAAGCTCAGGGTCTTCTGACCTCATTTGTCTTCTCCCAACTCCTCTAAAAATATGCAGTGTTGCCCTAACCTGTTTGGCTCAGTGGATAGAGCGTCAGCCTGTGGACTCAGGGGTCCCAGGTTCTATTCCGGTCAAGGGCATGTACCTTGGTTGCGGGCATGTACTTTGGTTGCGGGCACATCCCCAGTGGGGAGTGTGCAGGAGGCAGCTGATCAATGTTTCTCTCTCATCGATGTTTCTAACTCTCTATCTCTCTCCCTTCCTCTCTGTAAAAAATCAATAAAATATATTTTAAAAAAAATATGCAGTGCCCGAGACTGGGATGTGTCTCCCAGAGCACACCCAGGAGGCATCCAGCCACACCCAGCCCATGCCTGTCCCACAGGTCAGGAGTTGGGACCATGAGCATTTTGCAGACCCTGAATCTTAAGTTTCCTACTTCTTATGTCATTTATGGCCTGTGTCCTTCCCCTTGAGCAGAAAAGTAGAACTGTACCAGTGCCTTAACTAAACCTACATTTATTTTCACCAGAGGCAACATCTAATTAGTAATATAATTATTAACGTGTGCATTAAGATAGCTGATTTTCTGGAATTCTTTTAAATCAAGCTAGCTAAAAGATCAAGAAGTACCACAAATGCTATACATGCTTTCACAAAAAGAAATGAAAATTCTTGGCTTTTGTGACCACATGAAAATTTTTGTAATGTAGTGTTTTAACTTCTAGACTTCCCATGCACCCTAAGCAATCTTAATATCTAAACACTGACCAAATTGCGCTTTTTTGAAACATAAAATATAATAGGCAGTAGACGTTACATCTGGAACTATGATGTCAGTATAACCACATGTGGCTATTTAAATTTAAATTAACTAAAAATATAAAAATGTATTCCATTGCACTGGTCACATTTCAAGTGCTCAGTAGCCACAGTATGGAGTGGCTACCCTGCCAGACCATGCACATAGAGAAAGGACATTCCCATCTTCTCAGAAACTTCCACTGCACAGCACTCGTTTAGAAGATACCCCCAGTTCTTGGTAGAAATTTTGGCCACCTAATGATCAAAAGTTCTATCTCTGAGAGCAATAAAGCATTTTTTCTTTTTCCTATCGGAACACAGAAGCTATAGTCACCACTTTTGAAGAAGACTAGTCTCCCAACTGCAGACTTTATGCAACACAGAGATGTATGTGTTCGGCAGAGCCAGCTTAAAATGAGTCCTTTTTCCTTTTGAATTCTATTATAAAACCAAGTCTGTGTTCTTGTAAGAAAAATACCACTTAAGGGGAAAAAAAATCTTTTAAGACAATTATAATTTGCAGAAACTGTAGTTTATTTGTAGCTGTCTCAGTGGCATTAGGTAGATCCAGGAACTTTCTCAGTGAAGGACTTTTGTCATGGTTATCCTTCAGTATGCAGAAAACATGTATTATGCAGATTATACATTGTAATGTATTTTGGTTTTGAATGTTAGCTTTTATAAAGGCAATAAATATATGGTGAGTGTGCCAGCAAATCCTCTAAAAAAAGGCATGGGTTGACTTTTAAGAGACTTAGGAGCATTCCACCTCTAGTTTATAAGACCGTTCTCCCAAAATCTACCTATCTGCGCCATCGCTTTAAAAAAATAACTGCCTCTAAGTACCAAAAAGTCGTGAAATTCTGGTAATATGTCTCATTGTTTCTCACAGAGATAGGCTTGCTTATCTGCTAATTGATAAATTATTTAACTTTGCCGAAAGTATTAGCATAATTTTGTATAATGTACATTTTAATTAGCAAGTAAAAGTAAACATGTACATGAAAATCTATTAAATCCTTAGTGGGTGTTTAATAAAAAGATTGATTAAAAATGCAAAATTATGTTTTGCTTTGTGAGTGGTGAATTTTTTTAAAGTATTATTACAAACTATTTAAAATGCACTTTATTTTTACTGTTCCATCTCTCCTGTGAGCTTTTATAACACAGAATTTTTAATAATACACGATGTTGATTTGTGTTGTATCCATTGTTTTTTCCTCAATTACATCATCAGCTTCATAGATTGTTTCATTTGTTGAATTTGATGCTGCGTTTGAATTGGGGGTTTTGATTTTCCTATTTGAGTTGCCTGCAAATACACAAAACAAAATGAAATAATTAATGGGAAATTATGTCATGAAACTTGACTTTGTAACAGTTTTGCTTGACAACATATATTTTGTAACAATATTGAAAATACGATGTCCTGAAAACACTATGTGGATACGTGAGAACTGAATCCCTTCAAAGTTGTTTTTGAGCGTTTCCTCCTGAAAGTCACATAAGGGAAATGTTCAGTAACAGAAGTCGGGTTTTATTTCCATGCTTACCTTTCTCCACTCTTCTTTGGAGATAACTACACATTTGAAGAGAAGGTAACGATTTCTGAATTGTTGAACAAAAGTGTGGCTGTCCCTATTCTTGAAGTGAACAAAACTATACTGAAGCCAATCATCATAATTTGCAGCACTTTAAGGCTTTGCCATCAAAGTCGATTTAGATGTAATTTTAAAAAAGAACACACTTGTGCCACAATCTCATTCACTCATGTAAATATGAGTCCAGAATGTCCAAGGATAGAGAACTTTTTGGTGGCAAAATAATGTTCTACCTCTAAACATCCAGGCATAACGTTTCAACCATTTGATTTGTAAAAGCTAATTTGCGGAAGGCACATTTTCTGACTTGGCAAGTAGCCCTCTGCCCAAATAAGCAAGTAAAGCTGTTTAAAGTAAACATAGGAGGGAAAGCTGGCATGAAAATTGGGTGAAATGATAAGTTCTTGATTGTTATTTGCAAAGTAGACTTTTAAAATATATTTGCTTCAAATTTAAATACAATTAAATACTTTAGTAGAATATATTCTAAATGAGGGCCCTTGAAATTATTTTCCTCCTATAATATCTGAAAAACAATGTTTGTGGTTTATTTTTCATTTGTTTAGTATTATTTTTACTCTCCTGTATCATAGCAGAAAAAGGTAAAAGATCCAAGTTTCATATTATCTGCGTAGCATTTGTATCTCATGTAAACATGTCCTTTAAACATCTAAAATTTGAATATTTTATTGGAATTCCAGGAAATCTGAAAACTAATGTGTAATTCAAGTCCTTCATGTTTCCAAAGCTTTTCACTTAATTAAATTCATAACATTTTAATCAGGGTTGCAAGGTGGTTTTGTCTACCTTGTCACCGTTTTTGTTCTCTTTTTATGATGAATAAACTCAGGAAGTTATTTCCCAACTTAGTTTGAGGTTCTCTCTAAGTCTTCAACATTCTGACATCTCTAGTTTCCATTATGCTTTTTTTCTGTCAACAACTCAAGGGGTTTATCTAACCTGTCTACAGCCCTCTGAAACCTAGAGGCTCACAAAGTACCTTTCAGTTACTATAGATTTTTCTCACCAAGGACTTGTGCGGTCCCCTTCCTTCAGCCCTGACTCATTATTTCCTTGGCTACTGCCTGGATTTCTCTAACTAGTGTAGGTACAGAGATCTTTTCTTAGATTGGCCTCTTAAGGTAAGGCAGTTTCCCCAACAAGCAATTCACTCCACGAACAAGAAAAGATTTGTTATAAATATCATACTGACACTATTTGAAACAGGAGCTTTGATGAGCATGTTACCATCCCCAATGTTCTCTTCCTGCAGCTGACTGCATCCCTTTGGAAGAATTTTTTTTTAATATATTTTTATTGATTTCAGAGAGGAAAGGAGAAGGAGAGACCGAAACATCAATGGTGAGAGAGGATCATTGATTGGCTGCCTCCTGCACTCCCCACACTGGGGATCGAGCCTCCAACCCAGGCATATGCCCCGAACAGGATAGAACTTCAACCTCCTGGTTCATACTTTGAAATTCAACCACTGAGCCACTCTGGCCAGGCCCCTTTAGGAGAATTTTAAAAGAGAAAGAAGGAACTGTCTCAACCACCTCAGCTTTTCCTAATGTGGTTGAGACAGTTCCTTTTTTTGCTTTAAGAAACAAAAGCTAACTTTTTAACCAACAAAATAGGGGTAAAACCAGCTGCCTCTTTGGGGTCAAAAAATTACAATATGGATTTGATTTAAAGTAAGAAATCTATAATTCCATTGAGCTTCCAAGGGATTTGTTACACATAAAGCAGTTTTTCTTATCTAATGCCTCTTTTTTTTAACCTGAGTACAGATTGCAAAAAAAAGATCCATGTGCTTTCCCTGGTTGACATTAGTTGCTTTCTGCTGCTGGCTTCCCTTTTTTTTTCTTTTAATCTGGTCATCATATGTAAATTTCAATCTTCCTTTAATCCTATACTTCTCAGACTGGCATTTAAATTAAAATTTTAATCTTTATCAACATTTAAATTCATTTAATCAAATGAATAGTATTCATTTAAATCAAATTCATCAATCTACCTATCCTCATTCACAGTTCTAGGCCAATATATTTTTGCTGATAAGATTTAAATTTTGTATTCATTTTCAGAACCATTCCTCAGGGATCCACTTATCCTATAAACTCTTCTGTGGACACTGCTTACTAAAATTAAATTTATTGGGGTAACCATTGGTCAATACATTATATAAATTTTCAGGTATACAATTCTATAATACACCTTCTATACATTGCATTGTGTGCTCACCACCCAAAGTCTAGTCCTTTCTGTCACCTTATATTTGACCATCTTTCCTCTTCCCACCTTCCCCTCTGGTAACACCATACTGTTGTCTGTGTCTATGAGTTTATTACTTTCTGTTTTATATCCCACCTATGAGTGAAATCATATTGTTCTTATCCTTTTCAATGTGACTTATTTCACTTAGCATGATACTAGTACTTGAGAGTTCAGGATCCATCTGTGTTGTCCCAAGTGGCAGTGCTTCATCCTTTCTTATGGCTGAGTAGTATTCCATTTTATATATGTACCACAGCTTCATATCCATTATCCATCGAGGATTGGTTGATTAGGTTGTTTCCATGTATTGCCTACCATGAATAATGCTGCAGTGAACATAGGGGTACATATCCTACACTGAGTGGCCAGATTATTATGACCATCCAGATTATTATGATCACCCCATCAGTACTTCATTGACACTTCCAAAATTATTGAATATTGAAAACTTCCTAAGAAAATACTCTCAAGGTTTTATTATTATTATTATTTGCATAACTAATTCACTTTGTTGTACTGATGGGGTGGTCATAATAATCTGGCCACTCAGTGTATAGCTTTACAAATAAATATTTTCAAATTTTGAGGGTAGATATTCAGAAGAGGGGTTGCTGAGTCATATGGTAACTTTATTCTTAATTTTTTTTTTTTTAGGAACTTCCATACTGTTTTCCATAATGGCTGTACCAATTTACATTGCCACCAGCCGTGTATAAGGTTCCTTTTTCTCTACAGCCTCTCCAACATTTATTTCTTGTCTTGTTGATAATAGCCATTCCAATAAGTGTGAGTTAATATCTCGTGGTTTCCCTTATAGGTAGTGAAGTTGAGCATTTTAAAATATATCTGTTGGTCATCTGTATGTCTTCATGGGAAAAGTGTCTTTCTGGTTCTCTGCCCATTTTTTAATTGGTTTGTTTTTTGGTGTTGTTGTTGAGTTGTATGAGTTCTTTATATATTTTGGATATTAGACCTTTATTGGAGGTATCGTTTGCAAATATCTTCTCCCATTCCGTTGGTTGCCTTTATGTTTCATTGATGATTTCTTTTGCTGTGCAGAAGCTTTTTAGTTTGATGTAGTCCCATTCATTTATTTTTGCCTTTAGGAGCAAGTTCACATAAACCTCTCTGAGACCAAGGTCCATAAGTTTAGTACCTATGTTTTCCTGTATGTATTTTTTCCTTTTTCTATTAATCCTCACACAAGAATATTTTTTCCTTTGGTTTTTAAAGAGAGTGGAAGGGAGGGACTAAGGGAGGGGTAGAGAGAGAGAAAGAAAGAGAAATATTGATGTGAGAGAGGCACATCAATTGGTTGCCTCTTGCACGCACCACAGCCAGGGCTGGGGATCAAACTTGCAACCCAGGTATGTGCACTTGATGGGGATTCGTATCATGACCCTCCAGTTTGCAGGCTGATGCTCTAACCACTGAGAACATGGCCAGGACTCTCCTATGTATTTTATTATTTATGTACAATACTCTTGCCTGCCATTTTTTTTAAAAAAAAAATGCTGGGACCTCTGCCAGTCTTCATCTCCTATCTCTCTGGCAGAATTATAATTAAACTTTTCTGCCATTGTCTGCCTAGCTCCTACCTTCTGTGTACCATTCAGCAGGCCTACAACAGCTTCTAACTACTAATCAGCTGGCTCACTTTATTATTTAGTAGAAAATCTACATATCCCACTCATCCCACTGTACCTTCTAGTGGAAACAAGCAATCTTAGATTTTCACCTAAAAGGGGTTTTTTTGCAAGAAGACATTTTCCTCTCAAGTTTAATATGAGGCACAGGGCTGGATCTGAAGTAAATGGTGAAGAGCAAAACTATAGACCTCTCCCCTCTTACTGCCCTGCCTTCCCTTAAGGGAGCCATAGTTAAAAATTCATTGTGAAAGTTTAAATCCTAAACTTGCATTTTTGCTTTGTCCATTTGTCAATGAGTAAAGGCAATTCTATCCAGAAATGTTTTCCTACCCTATTTTTTCCACACTTGGTTTTTCTTTTCTTTACATTTTGTGCATTGTTAATCTTTCCCATCCATTGATGGTTAACACAACTAACAAAGGAATTTAACTGATACTTTAAGTCCTTTCAATGAATTTTCACACTGAGACTGGCTTCTATTTTGCTTATTGTTTCCAACATCAACCAGGATTGTTTAACACTGTGCCCTGAGGAGGACTCAGGGATGCTAAATGTAGCCATAGACTGCTGAGCAATTTGGTTTTCTGCATTCTAGGAACAAAAACAGCCATAGGAAATTCCAGACTCATTATTTTAAGTAGAAAATTCTCTTTAGGAGACACAAGTGGCCTCTTCTGTCATTAAGTTCAAATTAGTCCATCCTCTACTAAGATCTCAGTGAATTCTTAAAGCCCTTCTAAATAGAATAGTATTACGAAATAATCTGGCAGCCTAATTAATGAGTT